CAATTGAATCACTAGATGGAGATAAGCCCTGTCAGTTACCTTAAGCTCATTCATAATGTTTATACAAGAAAACAAAGTATTTTAGAATATCAAACTTTCTTTGCACTTAATAAGTCTCCTTATTATTAATCAACTTCCACATGTCTGTTCTTTAGACGAGTTAAACAAAGTTAACTCAAAGTTTGTCAACTATTTTACTTTGATCAAAACTTTTAAGATGAAAACTCACTATAAAACTTTAGGAAAGACTTCGATGTAACAAAAACATGATATAAGTCTAATCCTCAATACTTTAGAAGCTTGGTTTTACCAGATGAGGCAATTAGTGAATGTGAAGCCCACATTCTTTTTAATTCTCCCACTTAGGTGAACAAGCACTAGTCACTATTTTTTTTTTTTGTTACTTCAAAAGAACTAATACAAAACTATCAAACAAAGTTTTATTCAAAATACTTTTTGTTTACTCTTTCAAGTTCAATTAATCTCAAACAGGCATTTAACAAACTACAAACTTGTCTTTATATACAAAATATTGAACCACTATGTCCATTTATAACCAAAATACACCCTAATTGAGGCAGCTAAAACTGCGAACATATAATGTAACAGCCCGTCCCAAATTTTATGTTTTTATTAACTTTAAAAGTGTGAGTTTACGAAAATGCCCTAGAGGCAAGGAGTTTGACTTTCGTTGACCATTGGTTAGAGAAATGTATGATTTATTCTTTTAGCATATCCTTGTAGTACTCGTCGCTATGGACCCGTGGACGCAAACGGGACGTAATTTGGAGCGAGGGAGATATTAAAGTTTGAAGTTTGGGGCATTTTAATAATTTGGTTATTATTAGAAAACTCTAAAAAAAAATTAAATGAAATTGGGTGTGCCACGTGGGTGGCCCAGATTTAAAGACAAGATATGGATGGTTGTGATGGAAAGGCAAGAAGAGAGATGAGAGATAAGTGGAACAATGAGGAGAAGAGAGAGAAGGGTGGACCAATGAGGGATGAGAGAAAGGAGAGAAAGGAGAGAGGAAGAAGAGAAAGGAACCAGCTGGGTTCACCATGACCCATGACCCGACCCGGTTCCATCTCCCGATTTCGACCACCATAGACGGCGAGGTTGGTGTCAAAATGATCCTTAGCTCAAGGCCATTCGATAATTCTTCCTATTTCACCCCAAAAATCAAGGCATTTTGGCATTGATTTCACAAAACCCACACGGTGGGGTGCGGCGGTTTTGGGTTCAAACCACACAATTCCGAAGTTAACCACATCCGTCACCATCACCCATAGCATCCTTTTGAGGCCTAGAATAAAGTCCAAACAAGTTTGGGGGCGGCGGAGTTGTTTTGGAGTCAGATCGAACACACCCAAATTCAAGGGTTTCGTACGGTTTTAGAAGCATTGAAGCTTTTCCAGGTCGAATTGGCCTTAGTCACAGGTATAGATCGATTCTTCTCATCGATTAGATAAATTTTCGTGTTTGGATCGTGTGATTTGGTTGAAAAATAAGAAAGTTATAACAATTTAAAGTTTGCCCAGTTTCCGGCGACCTCCACCAATTTCGAGGCATTTTCCGGCCAAACCACGGCGAGTTAGCCTTCGAGAAAGGTATCAATCTCTTCCTCTCATCGAAAACTATGATTTCTATTTTTGAATCACTTGATTTCGTGGAGTATTGACAAAGTTATGGACGTTGAAAGGTTGCCCAGAAATTCCGGCGAGTTACCAATTTTTCCGCGGACAGCCGTCTTTCATACCATTTTTCGAACACCTCTGGCCACCACTTGGACTCCAAGCTGGCACCAATCATTCGAGATGCCTCGATGCGCGTGCTAGAGAATTATAGCGTGGACTCTAGGTGAGTGGGTCTTTTCCTTTTATTATAGGCATATAATTGATAGTTCCACAAACGCTTCTAAAGTTATTTATGCATGTTACCAACAATTAATTATTGTGAACTACGAATGGCTTAATCCCTATTTAGGGTACGTAGGCAGTCTAACAAGATGTTAGATGCAGGCATACAATAAGTGAGATTATATAATCGAGACAAAAGCTTTGTTTGGGAAAATGAGCAATGTGAAGGAATCTGGTGAAAAACGTGAGATTTAACCCTATGTGTTTGGGTGAATAAATGTTGGTTATAAATCAACGTGCGAGGAAACAAGAAATTGTGGTTTTATGTTTTATAAATGTCATGCCATAATTAGTTTACATTTTAGTATGTGATTTAGTACAACCTTGCACGGTGTTGCACACCAATGCAAAGGCTAAGGTAAGTTTAGGTGAGTATATAATGCTAGCCATGATTGATGAGATATGAATAAATCGTACAGGTCATTATAGGTGACTCCGACTTATACACTAGCCATGATTGATGAGATATGTGATGAGATATGAATATGTCGTACAAGTCACTATAGGTGACTCCGACTTATACACTAGCCATGATTGATGAGATATGTGATGAGATATGAATGAGTCGTACAGGTCACTATAGGTGACTCCGGCTTACGTGCTAATATGGTTTATTAAGCACATGATTATTTATATTGCTAATGAGTTGCTAAGTAGTATTATACTTCAGGGTTTACCGTTAGTATATTTTTTACTTCATACTTCTACGTAGTATGATTTGCTGGAAACTATACAGGTTTTACAACGAGGGGTTACTACCTTTGATAATGGAAATGACTTTGAAAATCTTTGTTTTGACCACTCACACTTTCTATCATTGCACCCTTCCAGGCTCTAGTAGCAAGGTTCCGTATTGACGAGGACTTGTGGCACTCCCACTTCTAGTGGCTCCTTATGGTGGTATAATTATTATCTTTGCTCACTGTACTTGTCTTATGCCCTATATCACGCATGAAATGGGTCCAGACACGCTCACCGCGCACTTGTGTACTTAGGTACTTTTAGAATTAATTTATTCACATTTTATACATTATCAAACTTGATGGCTTCATCACCTTCCAGGTGTCGGCCAGCACGGCTCGATTCAGGGTCCTAGTGGACATTCCAGTTCGGAATTTCATCGGTTTGAAACCGGGTCGGGTGTGGTGCACGAGTCCGGTTTGGGTGCTCCTCACCCCTCTTCTTTCTTTCCTTGTTCTCCCCCCCCCCCCCGATTGGCCATTCTTCTTCCTCTCTCCTCTCCCGATTCGCCACCATCTCCCCTCCTTTTTCCTCCTGAAACTCTCCCTTCTTTTTGTAGCTGCCATTCGGCAGTTTCTAAATTTTTTTTTTCTCCCACCTTTCCTCCTTAATTAATTAGAGACAACTTTTAATTGTAGCTTTTTCACCTTGATATCTTTTGAATACACAATCTCAATACTCTACAATTAATATAAATTCCAAAAATAATATAATAACTCCTTAATACACATACGTAGTTTGCAATAGTGAAATCCAGGAACGAGATTTCACACGCGCGATGCTGCAGGAATGAAAACTATACAAATTTTTTTGTATATAGTATTATTTAAACACAAAAGATAATACTTGATGTGTGTACATACTATTTACACTATTTACACCATTTACATACAAAGGATTTGATAAATAATCCTATTGATAACCTCACCATTCTAATTTTTTCCATCTTTCTGTGTATATATGAGGGTAGACATTTAATCCTCACTTCTTTCTTTTTTGAGAGTTGTGCATACTAATTGGACGAAACCAAGGAATTAGAAGCCTTTCCATACCTTGGCTTATATTTTGAGGGAATTTAATTTGTTCTTGGAAATTGGTAAAAGTGAATGTGGAGGAATAGGGGAAAAGTCCACCGTCTCTCAAGCTCTTCCATTTGAATTGTTGTAAAAGAAACTCTCACATCCACCATTCCCCCTATTTCAATTCAAAAAATTAAAAATAAATTTTTTAAGAAGAAACTCAACAAAAAATCACTAAATAGTTCAATAAATTTGGAATCTTTGTTATTTTCTTGTAGAAAAAAAGGTGGAAACTGTTCCTGAGGAACTGAAAGCCAAGTTGTGATGAGAGCAAGGCAGATGGTGCTGCAAATGTTATAGAGGGACAGAATCAGAACCAATAGGATTGAATAAAGCAGTCGGAAAACTCAAGATGTGATCAACCTGTTCGTTACCGACCTGCATATAGGGGTGGGCAAACGGTTATAGGAATCGCGGGTTGGGGGCGGGTACAGGTTGGTTCCAATTTTTTCATAAGAGAAACAGGGTGGGGTGGACCAGGTCTTTGAAATTTTAGGGACGGGCCAGGTCCAAATGTATAGAAAAATAGGACCCTGAACCGACCTGTTTGTAATTGCAATGGACAGATGAGATTGAAGAGTAAGCTACCATCCGATCTGAACTGTTGGTTTTACCTAGGTTCTTTCTCTCCCGTCTCGGGTCCTCGACTGCCACTGGACTGGACCTCGAACTCAATTCTCTCTCACCGTCAAGCGTGCGTCGTCCCCTCCCCTCCATCATTCTCCGCAAGTCATCTCCTCCACCACCCCGACATCACTGCCTTAGCGAGTCTGGGAACTCCAACGAGAGAGATACAGAGAGAGGACTTGTTTAAGAACTTTTTCCCCATAGAGGACTTCTTAGATCTATATGTACAAGTCTTAAGGGTGGTTTGGGAGTGAGGTGCTTAAAAAAGCACCTATGAAAAAAAGCTGTGAGGGTTTTAGGTGTTTGGTAAACTGAAAAAAAATGGCTTATTTTGAAAGCTGCTGTGAGAATAAGCTGAAATCAAAGGAAAAAGCTGAAGCTGCTATTTGCAGCTTTGGAAAACTGGCTTTTTTTCAAAGTACACGGAGCTACAGTGCTCCTTTAATGAAAAGACTCATTATCAGACTGCTTTTTTTTTCAAAAGCACTTTTACAAAAAAGTTTACCAAACACTCTGCTGATTTATTTCACAGCCGCTTATTCTGACAGCACAGTCGCTTATTTTCACAGTAGCTTTTTTTCAACAATACCAAACCAGCCCTTATAACTCTTTCCCAGCAAGAGGACTTATCTAAAAACTTCGACGAGAGAGAGAGAGAGATGCATAGGAGAGAGAGAGGGTTTTAGAGAGAGAAAGATGGTTAGGGTTCGCGGTGGTGTTCTTCCGGTGCTGCTGGTGCTGGTAGCTTGCTTTGCATTTTAGCAGCTTTTTGCTTCCGACGATACGGTAATTCAAATCATCTCATTTGTAATTGCAATTTCATGCTTTGAATCTCATATTTGAATCCTAAATTCTTACCAATTTCGATTAATTTGTGAATTTAGGTATTTTACGATTCGTTTGATGGCACATTTAAAGGCCGATGGATCGTTCTAGCAAAGAAGAGTACAAAGGCCCGTTCTTTCTTTCTAATTGCACAAATTCATAATTTCTGGATTTCAATGTGGGTTTTCGATTTGAATTGGACTAGAGTTATTCCCTTCAATTGCATAATTTCTAGATCTCCTTCTTGTACAAAATATAAGACATCAAATCTGTAATAACTATTATCAATAAGCCCTTTAACACTTTAGTTATAACCTAGTCCTTCCCATCCTTGCAGCCTGCAACATTTGATTTCCCACCCGCAATGGTTGTCACACCTGCAAACAATTTGCATTAGAATTTCAGAAATTGTTACACCTGTTTGGAAAAGCAGAATTGGTATTGACTTTTCATTTTATCAATGAATGATTATGCTTTTATGTTTTTTGTTATGGTTTGATCCTGTTTCTGCTACAGATTCTTTGTTACACCTATAGATTTCATGATCTTGAATTCCTTATCGGAGGGCTTGATAGAAAACGTAACTAGTTCTAGGATTTTTGTTTCTCTGTTTTGGCTTTCTTTGCAATTCCATGGTGCTGCAGCACAGGATTGTTCAAGGTTTATTTGTAAATGCTTTTGGTGTAAGTGTTTTCAGTATTAGTGTCAAATTTTATAAACAATCCAAGTGTTTGAGACTATTTGTGTAGGAATCACTTATGCTCATTAGTGCTTTTAGTATAAACATGTCCAGTTTCATTACAAAACCAAGTGCTCATTAGTGTTTGGGCGTTGGATGTCATTTTGATGTTATCCTTTTTCTTACAGATTCAATGAAGAATGATGTTGGACGTTTGATACTTTAATGTCATTGCAGATGTTAATGTGGATGTTATTTCGGTTTTAATGTTTATGTTTATTTTGGATTTGGAATAGCTCCTGTAATCTATCTGTGCAGAAGCTTGAAGCTTGAAGCATCTCTTGTAATTTTTGAAAACGTTTGTGCTGCTGCATGCAGTTTTATAAAAATGTATTTTTGAAAAAAAGAAAAATAGAGTTGGACCCGTGGACCTGCCCCGGACCAGCCTGTTTGAAACGGGCTGGGTTAGGTCCGGTTCCAAAACTCAAAATCTCTTTACCGGGCTTGGCCCATCCTGTAACAGTTTAGAACAAGTAGGGTTAGATTCCTCCAAATTTGGGCTCGGCCCGGCCCATGCCCACCCCTACTTGCATCCACACAAAAACTACACAAAAAAATTGCCAATGAGATTGGATAGCATACCACAATGTCATGAAGCAAAATTAACTTTAATCAAGAAATTAGCCACCTGAAATCTGTCGGACAACTCTCCAACAAACCCAACTTTTTCTGGGTTTATATTTTCTCCCAATCCAAAACGGATTCATCTAAAACACAAAGTCAGACGGGCTAATCCTTTCACTGGACTGTGATTTAACAAAGGTCCACCATCACTCCAACAGTGCCTCTGCATTGCTACTTGTTTCCTAGGTCCTGAACTGGAAAATCCCCAAACAGCCAAATCCAAATTTTATCATCAAAACCAAAATTATAGTAAAAAAAAATTATTTTTCCGAAACTCTTCTAAAGGGCAGAAAGAGAGAAAGTACAATTTAAGTTCGAAAACCTACAGAGGGGTTTTGGAGGAGAAGCAAAGAGGAGGAAAGGTGTGACCACCATGACAACTCCAGGTTAGTCATCCTGGATTCAGTTTGCAGCATAATTACTACTACTTGCAATGATTCGCCTATCATTGTCTGGGGAGCAAAAACCTTGCAAAGACCAACAATCCCAAAAAATCAGTATATATCACTCCTTGCAAAACTCCAAAGTCAGAAAATGAGAAAAATAAAATTTCATAACATTATACCTGAAGAAACCCCAAATTTCCAGTCAAAGGGAAATTAATACAATCTCTGCAAAAAATAATCAGAAGACAAAAACTCAAATCTCAGAAAAAAAAATCAGCAAATTAATCTTATAAATTGTGATTTGGAAGAAATTTTTGGAGGAGGGTAAGATTGAAACGCACTGAGAGGCAAGCCTTGTATTTCTGCAATCCTTGTCCCATTGGCCCTTCACAAACTTCTTCGAGTACGATCCTACCTTTAACTTGATTCGAAGGAAGGGCATTGAATGTTGACTCAACAAAATTTTGCAAGTAATGAAGTTGCGTAATAAATTTCACCTGAGAAGTTAAAGGGCACCAAGGTAAATAAGGAAAATTAAAACCAGTAACCACATCAATATGAATGAGCCTTATGTTTATTCTTTTCACTCAAACATCATTATACCATTACAGAAAATCAGGAATTTGAACATCAGCTCGCGACTTCGCCTTTGATTTGAACTCCACCAACTTCGATGCAGTCCTTGGATACACCCTTGCCTCCTTTGTCGTAGTCGAATTCTTCGCTCACTAGTCAGCTTTTCTAATTTCTACGTAAACCATTGATTCTATTTGGGAAATAAATGGAACCCCTTATGTTTTCTTGGCCATAATGGATATCATCTTTGATGAATATCATCTGTGAGAAAACAATTTGCTTTGTACACATAAGTAACCACACATTAGTAACCGTAAATCGAATTAAAACAATTTGATTAATATCAGTAACCACGACTATAATAACTACAATTTGAACATTTACCTCGATCACAAAGTCTGTAACATTTACCTCAAACACGCAAATAAAAAATTTATTAAATTTGTTTCTACTAGTATGTAATTCCGATTTGAGTTTGAATTCACATGAAAAAAATATATATAAATCCATGAAAAAATTTACTCATATGTAAAAAGAAATAAAGTGTGAATTAGAAAATATTAGCAGAGAGCTTACCTCTATAGTTGTTGCCAACTTGAACAAATGGCAGACCTAGATTAGGATTATAGCATTTTAATCATATTGATTTGTCGTTTTGAGGGTTTGAGAATTATTGCGATGACTGTGAGCGAGATAAAAGGTAAAATAGTCACTATGAGGAGAAGATTTAAATTTATGATCAAAGTTACAAACCACAGCGAAAAATCAAATATTTAGATTCTTAAGAAAAGTGAGGCTTAAATACCTGTGGAAGGCTAGAAAAATCGAGTGTAGGATGAGACGGCTAGGAGATTGCGAAGCAGAGATGGAAGAGATGATGAAGCAAGATGGAAGATATGACGAAGCAAGGATTGAAGAGTTCATGAAGCGGAGCGAAGGAAGCATGATCAAAATGGTCAATCACGTAGCAAAGCAACCGATTTTTCTAGCAATTTCCGAGGAAGAGACTCGGCATCAAGGTCAAAACCGTCATATTACTTGTAACATTTAAAAAAAGCTACATTTGAAGAGCAACTGAAGGGCAAAAACAAACCTTTGGAAAGTTGTCCAATAATATCAGCAATTTTTCTGATATTAAAAAGTTGTGCATTGGATTTGAAAAATGAGTGGGCAATATGATTGATTCTTTGTGACTTGATTTATTTGTTCATGTAACATATAATTTAAGGGGAATGAAGAACGATGGTTTCTAGGATCAGGACAATGATATTTTTGTAATTTTTACAAATTGCATATTGTGTTCGTTGAATTGGAAAAAACGGTATTAAAACCTCAAATGCTGAAAATTGGTAAAATTATTTTGATTACCTCTAAATTTGGGTTTTAGATTTCCTTGTTCAATTGCGTTAAGAGCTAGAAGTCCAAGAGTGATTGCAAACTTGGTTCCTATAAATGTTAATTGAAATATAATCATGCTCAAAAAATTTATTAATTAATAAGTTGTTTGAACTATAATACATTGTAATAAAATGGTTTTCTCACCAGTTCAACTGTCCATTGTAAGCCTTTGAATTGGTTCAAAAGAGGCTTTAAGTCAGAATTGTTACGATGTTCATTGTCTTGTAAATCTGCAAGCAAAATATACATATTGTTAGGAAAAAAATGACTGCATATCAAAATATATAATATATAAGTTTTTAATTGTAGATCTATACAAGCTACAACCTGTTTTTAAATTTTGCAGAACATCTTTGTAAACTATATTTTTTGTAAATGTATTTGGCATTTCATTGTTGTTAGCAATTAAAACTTTAAGGCCCTCTCTTGATGTGACTTTAGATAATGCAACATATAATTGACCATGAGTGAAAACAGGTTGTGGTAAATAAAGTCCCACTTCTTTCAATGATTGTCCTTGACTTTTGTTAATTGTCATTGTATAACATGGCCTTATTAGAAATTGACATCTTTTAAATACAAAAGGCCATTTGTTTTCAGTTGTTGTTAGGGTTATTCTAGGAATGTAAACTTTGTAATTAATGTTGTTGCAAGCAAGTATTCTAACTTCAATAATTCTATCAAATAATTCTATCAAAGTTTACATTCCTAGAATAACCCTAACACACAAACCTAAAAATTAGTTTAAGTTTCGGAGCAACATAATGGACATTCCAATCTTTAAAATTAACTTGTGGGAAGGCAAGCCATGGAAATCAAGTGTGTTGAGAAATTCAATCCACTCTTTGTCATCTCCTAGTAAACCCAAACACTTACACGATGCTTGATATGATGGTTGAATAATGTCATTCACAGTTCTAAGGTCATCAAAATTGAGAACACCTTTTTGAATATTGAGAAGCATTCTTAAATAGTATAACTTACCTAATGCAGGATGCACGTAGGCGATTCTGCCTATGGATCCTCCTTTTTTTTCCCTAAGCTTCCAATCAGTAATTCTGCATAAGTTAGTGTTCACGTTTCAAGAAAAAATTTATTTGTTTCAAACCAACTTATCAACATTGTGTGTTCAAAAGCTTTTTTATTAACAATCGATTCAAGTGATTGATTACTATTGAAAACATTAGTTTATTCCAAAGGAAGATGCACTAGCAATCGTTCAACATGAGGTTCTCTCATATGAATTGGATACTCAAACAATCTCCAAACAACTTCATATGGAGATATATATCTACAATTTAGATAAGCAAATATTTCATTGTTTGAAATCTCTTCGAAAACAATTCTTGCTCGATCTGAACCTTTGTTTATGTATTTGAAAAGATATTTTATAAGCATTGATTGGCAACATAACTCAACATTTATATGGGCATTGTATCTTAATAATAAATTTGAATTGATACAATAATAAATCTGAATTGTAACGTACAACAAAACTGTTATCAATTTGCATCCCATTTTTAACCATAAATTTTGACGGATTATCACGACGCCTATACACAAGAAAAACATTTGTTTCAAAAATTGTTTCACTCTTATATTGCTTTGGAAAAAAACTTAGAACATTTTCCTTCTTGCATACACGGAGAATTTTGATTAAGTTGTCCCCAAGGACCATGAATCATGAATTGGTTGACAATTTTATAAAGAAGAGGATTTGAATTTTTATGTGGTATTTCAGCTGAAATGATGGAATCTATGTCGTCAACAGAGAAGCATTTGTAAGGCTTCTGTAACCAAATTAAGATGTGAGCTTGAGGCAAGCTTCTTTTCTTAAACTCAATTGTACAAACATCTGTTTACAATCAAGTTAGAAAATATATAAACCACAGCGAATTTCAATGTAAAGGCAAAATAAAAAAAAACTAAGAAAAAAATTCATTTTTTGAAATTCACCTGCTTCAACTTCATCAAAAGGTTCTCCTGATTTTATGTAGCTAATCATATCAAGTTTCATTTTAAAAACCCTAGAAATGATATCTGGTCTATCCTCTGACTTGTATCCAAGTTTTATATCAAATTCTCTCACAATTTCAAGCAATTTGATATTGCAAGTGAAGGTTATGAACAAATCAGAATTTCCAAATTGTTTACAAATAGTCATTGCATCTTGATAGTTGTTAAGCATATATCTAGGGCTTCTTGTATATGAGCTAGGTAATATTACTTTCTTGCCTATGTTATCAGCATCATGATCACCTTTTGATACAACATCATAAATGCCTTTATATACCTCACTTCGTAAGTTTTTTTGGTTTTTTCTAATGTAATCCAATCGATCATCTTCAAATGTTGCATAAGCATCTACCTAAAATTGTTGAAAGAGCCTTCCTCCTTTTAACAATGTATCTAATATTCTAATTGAGACTCCCTTTCTTGAATTTGATAGGCTATAAATGCTCTCATAGTCACTCTTCCTCTTTTATATGGGCGATTGTTTTGAGGGAACGTTCAATTTCAAATCAGGTCTGTATCCATCTTCACCATATGGAAAAAGAATGGAATATTGTAAAGACATAAATTTTGGATTTAGTTTTATCACACGTTTTAGTTCACCATCTTTAAACTCTATGACAATATCCCTATTCGAGTCAAATTGACCAATATCACCCACTATTAAACCAGCGATTTCATCACATGTAGGTTGTCCATATTGTTTATCATCATTTAACTGCCTACCCAATATAGTTATTTTCAAAGAAGGGAGAGAATTGTTTTCAAATTTATCTCTAATTGTTCGAAACACTTGAACCAATTCATTCGATTCATTGAACATGTTGATTAGACATTTGACAATACTCTCATCAAGCTTCATATTTGTTTCCTTACAATTAACAGCATTGAGACGATTTTGAATTTCATTAGCAGTGTCATACACATATAGTTGAGCAAATTTTGGGCATTCACCATCAAGGGGTAACAAAGAGCCCATTAAATGATGCACTTGACTACTAATTTTAAAAATGTAAGGGCTTGACTAATTGTTAACTGTGTGATCAAAACTTTAGCCTCCATTGAAGTAAATGCAAGCAAGGAATTATAAGCTCTGATGTTCTCTCTAAACAATAAGTTTTTTTGGCCTTTAGTTGGGTCAAGCAAATTTTCTAAAAAGTGAGGAGTAGGCATTGGACGTGGGAGCTTGACTTTTCCTTGTTGGCAACAAAGAGAATAAACGGGCTCATTATTCTTGGAATTCAATTTTAGACTCTTTTACCCAAAAAAATTGCACCACAGTAGATGCACTTATAATTTTTCTCTCCCAAATCCACATATTTCTAAACATTTCCTATTAAAAAAAAATGTGAAAAAGGGAGGAAAAAAAGAGTCAACCTATTAGTATCAGAGTCATAAATACATAACCAACCCAAACAAATTGTAAGTTAAAAGATAGTTTACCTTTTTTTATTTTTCTGAAAATTGGCTTGACCTTTACTAATTTGATTCGGATTATCAAATGTAACGACATTAGCACTTGTTTGAACTATGTTTGTACTTGTTGAACACATATTGTCAATTTTTTTTCGTCCTTCATTTTGAGATTCAAAGTCTGGTTTATCACAAACTTGTATCCCATTGGAAGGACCAACAATATGGTCTTCTTTTCGTCTTTTGTTATGAGGTTCAAAGCCTGGTTTATCACAAACTTGTATACCACTGGAAGAACCAACAATATGGTCTTCTTGTATCATTCTATGCAGTTTGCTATATCTAGACCTTGTTAACATGGCTTGAAAACAGTTGAAACTCCAAACAACAGATAATGGGCAGAGAACCCTGGAAAAAAAAGTCAATTATTAAATACTTGACTATATGTAATCCACAATCAACCAAAATAAACACATAAAGGTGACATTTCAAAACTATCATGCAAAAATCAATACCAATAATTGTTTATACCATATTTAGGGCCTCGTATATTTGGGCCTTGGGCTTTGTATTTGGGCCTCACACTAAAGCCCATACTTTGTAAAAGAGGAGGAGCCCCTTATTCTATAAAAGGGGACTCCTACCCTCATTCTAGGAGAGGCCTCACTCTCACTCTCAGAGGCCATTTCTGAAGCCTCTCACCCCCTCTCAAAGCTCCTCACATCCCCTAAGCTCTCTCTCCCTCTTCAACAGAGAAATATAATACAATCAGTGTGGACGTAGCCCAAACCTTGGGGTGAACCACGATAACTCTTGTGTCATTTACATTTCATGCAGATTCACGGTCGGATTTACGTTGTTCCAAGACCATCCGGTTTTGTGCATCAACATTTGGCGCCGTCTGTGGGAATCGACACGAAAAATTACGTCGGTTCTCTTTCAATCTTTCATCACACCACCGTGAAACCTTCACAATCTTCCCCGTGTATCTGCAAAAAGAACCCAGAAAAAACCCATTTCGTTTTCCATTTTCTGGTGAGAAAAAGAAACAGAAAAGATCAAAATCTAAAACAGACACAGAGCCCTCTCTCTCTCTCTGCCTCTGAACTCACGCATTTCCCCACAACCCACCAAAACAAAAACACCAGAAAGATGATTCAGCTACTGTTCATAGTGATTTTATCAGAAATGCTTATGATACTGGCGTTTCTGTTCAAGACCCCCTCCAGGAAGCTGGTGATTTTGGGGCTGGATCAGATCAAGCGGCTGCCGCAGCCCCGTTGTGGAGAAGCACGAGTTAGAGCGGTTTAAGAAGCTCAGAGCAAAGGAGGAGCTCAGGCTCAAGCTTTCACCAATCAAGGCGGATGCAGTAAGCTAAGAGAACCGCAGCGAGGGCAGAGAGGTAAGTGTGGAGCTCCGCCTCTTCAACAAATGAGACCCACTCAGACCTCCTGACCCAGCCGACCTCACTCGACTTCGACATCCAACTCTGCTTCTTCGAAATTTTTTCAAATCCGATCCGCAAACACCACCAGCTCTCTAAACTTGGCAAACCATGGTGCTAAAACTTCAATAGTCGTTCGAAGTCCAAGAGGGTGACTCATTCGATTGAGCAGCAGCAGCAGAAAGTAAAAGCTCGGATCAGGCTCTCCAGGTGGTTGCCTGCTCCCAAAGTTTAATGTTAAACCATACTTTGAAAATTGAAATTAATTGCGAGATTGAGAGGCAAAGGCAGAGGGAAAATCGATGAGGAACAAGATCGCTCAAACGACGCAAGTGTCGGCGTCAGAGTACTACCTCCACG